TTATTTTAGTTTGTTCTTTTGCTGCCAGTGTAGTGTTCAATAATATTGTGCTTAAAATATTTGTAAAAATGCAATTATTACAAATTATTAATTAATTAATAAATGTAAAAGTTCATGTTTAAAGTTTATTTTATTTATGTATTTCACTTCTTTTTTTATTTCAGAATATAAAAAATGTTTTCATTTAGTTTTCATTTTAGTTTTTGTTAACCATAATTCCAGAAGAGAAGATTTGTAACATTTATATGTTTAATGGAGGCAAGTTATAAAAAATAAATAATAAATAAACTTTTTTTTGTTAACCATAATTACACATATTCTGATGTATATAGACTGAATATGAGAGAGAGAGAGATGATTTTCACATTTGCATGTCGTCTCTTTGAAGCTTCAGGTTGTGGTCCATCATTATTAAATTGCATCCTACTTAAGATTCAAATCATTGAAGGTCACTTTCAATAATGGTTTCTGATGCTTTCTTGTCCATAGTGAAAGATAATGTGTTTAAGTTAACATGAAATGACATTTGCAACCTATTTCGCAACCAAAATGTGGCCCACTTCCATGTTAAAACAGGATGTTTACGGCTGGTGACTTCAGCCAAAACTGAAAGTTGCACATATTGCACAGATTGCAGAAAAGGTGGTAGAACATCTTCAGTTTGCTCTCGTTTACCTTCAAAGATTCCCTCTTTCAATATTATGCAAAACTATACAGCAAGAAATTAAAAAGTAGAGTTTTATGCCTCAATATTGCACTTGGCAAAGTGGATGGGCTCGCGGGGCATCTCTGCAGCATCATATTCGACGGGGGCGTGATCCGTTCCTCATAATTACACCTCCTACTCCAGCATCTGCTGAAGGGAGGAAAGAGAGGGAGTTCCTCCGAGTCATTCTTCGTGATTAATGCAGGTGTGCCTGAGAGGCCTTTTGGGAACGACCGGAGAATAATTACCACAAAGTATAAAGACATGAGAATGCCTCCGCTTTCTTCCCTCTTCTGACACCCTCCAAACTACACCAGCCGCCAAAGAGCAATTAAGACTAGAGAAGGCCATGTAGAGGATCTATCATTTAGGCTGCCTGTTTCTCTGTAGCAAGAGAAGATGGGAGTAAAGGGGAATTTGTGGATCTATTATTGGAGCAATTTCAAAGTTGAATCACACCCGAAAGGCTTAGGTTGAAAAAATGGGAGCCTCTGTTGTATCGTAGTAAAGAGAATTTAGCAATTATTACAAATTATTAATTAATTAATAAATGTAAAAGTTCATGTTTAAAGTTTATTTTATTTATGTATTTCACTTCTTTTTTTTATTTCAGAATATAAAAAATGTTTTCATTTAGTTTTCATTTTAGTTTTTGTTAACCATAATTCCACTCATTTTAACATATATAGTCTGTATATGAGAGAGAAGATTTGTATGTTTAATGGAGGCAAGTTATAAAAAAATAAATAATAAATAAACTTTTTTTTGTTAACCATAATTACACATATTCTAATGTATATAGACTGAATATGAGAGAGAGAGAGATGATTTTCACATTTGCATGTTTATTGAAGACATGTTATAAAATGTAAAAATATATATTCTTTATCAAATTATTCTGTGTATATATGTTTTAGTTAGTTATATGTTAGATATAGTTTCATTTTATTAAATCTCTTATATTCACAACGAATTGTCTCTGTTTACTGTTCACAGTTCCAAGTCAATGAATGTTTGAACCTTTGCTACATTTGGCTAAGAATTACTGCTAGCACTGCACAAAGAAGGACAGTTTATTGTTCCGTGGCCAGAAAATAAATATTCCTTGAATTGATAAATGATTATATTGTCTGCTCGGTGGACGGACAGATCAAATAATTGTAATATTGATTCTGCTACAGTTAATTCGAAGATATAATCTAAATATTTATTATGAATCATAACCATTTATGATTCGTCATAAATATTCCCCTTTTTAGAGCTAATAAATAATAATAAACGTTACATTGAAGACATGTTATAAAATGTAAAAATATATATTCTTTATCAAATCCTAAAATTAATTTGTTGCCAATTTTATTTTAATTAATTTTGGAGTTATTAAAATGTGTTTTAGTTTACTTTTCAGTTTTTCCAATTACATTTTTTTTTCATTCATTTAGTTTTCATTTAGTTTTCATTTTAGTATTTGCTAACCACAGTTACACTAATTCTAACATATAAACAATGGATGGTATACAAGAGACAAGATACTTAGAGAACTGAATCCTTGTGATGTCTTTTTCTTCTCTATCATGTTGTTCAGTGCAGCTCTGATGATTAGATTTAATAATGATAGAAATGACACCAGCTCCAGAGCCACTGGTCAACTTAGTATTGTGACAGAGCAGTCATATTTTCTGCTGATGCCGTATGTTGTCTTCTGCAAAAAGGTCACCAGCTGTAAAGCTCAGCAGTGGTGAGTATGAGTGCTATGCAGCTGTGCTCCTCCCATACCCGTGAGCTCCAGAGGTGATTCACAGGTCACATTTCAGCTGAGCCAAACCAATTGAGGAGCAAGGGCCAATGGGGTCCAATATTTTTTATTATTTAATTTAACAAAACTAACAACTAACGTTATTTTCCATAAACATTTTGATAGTTACCTTTTATTAGGTCAACACAATGACGCGTAGTAGTCAACTTGTGCAACTCCAAGTCAGTGACATTTCACCTTAAAGCAGCAAAAGCTAAAATAGTAACTGGTTCAGGCAAAATGTACAATGTTAACAGTAACTCCCAGGGTGGACAGTGGTCACACTGGAATCAAATCTTTTCGCATTCTTGTTGAGAGAGTTGTTCCTTTTTTTGCATGGATCGGTGCTGAATAACAACAGCAGCTCGGATAGTCGCTGCCACTTCTCTCAAGCCTCACACACACACTCTGGTACAATCAAGCGAAGGCTAGCTTCAGATGAATGGCGCTTGGCAGAGCTTAAAAGACGTGTTTCAGACCATCTGGACAGGTGAAGAAATGTCTGCTTCTGTTCATGAGCAGTCGAACATGCCAGTCTTCTGATGATGGGTTTTAAGCACTTTTTCATACAAGGCTTGAGAGAGATTTTATATTAATTTGCATCTTACTCTCAAATAGAGCACTTTAAGAGTACAATAGTGTTACTCATAGAAAATAACTAATTACATTCTATTGTTCCTTTTTTTAAGGGAAAGTGAAGCATTACATTTTAAGATTGTGACCCTGTCTTCCTTAGTGGAAGAGTTTTATGTGGCAGGATATTTGTACACTGGAAGGGTTATTTATTTATTTAGATGTAAATTAAAAAATAGCTCTCATTTTATGTATTTGGTTAGATGTAAATGAAAAAATGGCTCTATTTTGTTTATTTATGCAAAAAAGTAAGGGTAAGTTGAAAATGAAATGCCTGAAAATAAATGCCTGGTTAGCATGAAAAATTACAATACCCATCATCTACAGTATATATATACTACACCTCAAATATACTTCTATATATGTGTGTGTGTGTGTGTGTGTGTGTGTTTATATAATGTGTGTGTACTGTGTATATTTATATGTATATATAAATACACAAACATATATGTATATATTTAAGAAATATTTACATGTGTGTATATATATATATATATATACTGTATATATAAGGGCTGTCAACATTAGCACATGCCATTAATTCAAAAATCCTTAGTGTATTAAAATAATTTAATGCAATTAATGCAAAATTACTGAAGCACAATTTATTTTTCTAAGTTTTCAGTCCAATGATCCAGTAAGAGAATGCATTCAAATCAGTCCAAAACCGCGCTAATGTAAAGAAAACCGGGCTGATTACATCAGAGATGGCAGAGAATACACTATGAATTACATATACACATACTATACACTATGAATTCAGAATATTTTTTTGAACGTGTTAAGATAAATTGTATATGATATGATAAGTGTGACTAATCGTGATTAATCACACAAGAGGGTGTGATTAATCAGATTTAAAATTTAAATCTTTTGACAACCCATACACACACATATGCAAATTTAACATAAATAGGTACAATACTTTACTCATTGCTTGAAGAAAGTCTGATTATGTAAGACATGTTAACCCCGAACTCTGCTTTCAAACATTTAAATTCTTTAAAAAAAAATTAAAAAAGCTCTTAGTGGCTATTAAAAACCTATGCCTGATTGCCTTCTTTAAACCAGCTGTCCCCTATAAAATTTGAATGAGGAGTGTACTTGGAAAGAGAGTAGATTTTCTCTTGATAAGGCTTTCGTTTGGATTATTCACAAGGCCATTATAGAGTAGCACCATCAGTGTAGCTGTGTGTGTAAGGAGGGGGGGGTGTGTGTGTGTGTGTGTGTGTGTGCTTAAGAGAGAGCAAAATGGATTGTTTGTGTTTGTCTGATGGCGAGTGATATTCATCAGCTGCTGCCTTAGTGATTCATCCAATAAAATTAAGAAAACAGCACACACAGACACAAGTTAAGGTTTAAAACAAAGTGTACAGACTTCCTTTTGCGCACATTCTCAGTAATTGCAGTGTGTTTGGATGTTGTTGTTTCTAACTGCTTGAAATATCTCAAAGAACCAATTAAATTTTCCTTTGTTTTGCCAAGAAGGCTCTGGGATTCATCCAAGCTAATAATTTTATCTCTAAAGTTAATAATTAGTGTATATATGTCAACATATAATAGGTCTCACCGACTAATATCTTAACACATTCCATGTTTCTGTCTAACAGGTGCATTTTTTTGTTTTTAATTAGTGATTTCCTTTGAAAAGTGTGTGTGAGACCCGAAGTCTCTTCCACTGGATTAGTGCCTTTTCAAGCACTTTTAGTCACTTTAAACTTCACGAGTGTCTGTTATATAGTTTAGATGTGCTGAATTCAGAGAAGAACTGCATATTTTCAGGTTCTTTTGTTCTTGTTGAAAAGTTTCATTTCCATAAGATACATTCTCATACATTCAACCGCATGTCTTTACTGCCCCCTGTAGGTGACCTGGTGTCTCGTGCCATGCATCACCTTCAGCCACTGCACATCATGAACCCCAGCAATGGAACGCCTGTACACCAGAACCGCACTGGCACCATGCACTGGGAACCGGAAGCCCTCTACACGCTCTGCTACTTCATGCACTGTCCTCAGATGGAGTGGGAAAATCCTAATGTTGAACCCTCGAAGATCACCCTGCACACTGAGAGGTAAGAGCATGCTGTGTATTAGAAGCATGAAAGTTGCTACTGTATGTCACGGTAATGCAGTGCAAGAAGGCATATAGGGTTCATGCAGATACATAAATCTAATATTTAATTTGTGGTGTTTGCTAATGCAGCCATCACTAGTATTACTAGCAATATCCAAACTGATTATTTGGCTGTTATTTTGATCATAACCATGCGCTGCTTGACCATTCAGCTTTGTAAATATGTAATGCATATTTTTAATTTTCAGTTGTTGTTGTTTTTTTTGTAAAAAACCTATTTACTCAAAATTCAAAAATAATTGAAAATCATATATAATACAAATAAAAATATAATAAATATATTTTTAATAAATAATTTATATTTTTAAATAATTTAATTCACTCATTTGTATTTTGTTATTTTTTTTAACATATTTTCTCAAAATTCACAAAAAATTAAAAATATCAAATATGCATTACACATACATTTTTGTTTTATTTTTTTATTTGATATTTAAAATTATATATGTTATAAACTTAAATTATATATAATATAAATAATAAATATGATTAAAAAAAATATTATATATATATATATATATATATATGTATGTGTGTGTGTGTGTGTGTGTGTGTGTGTGTGTATTTAAGTCATTAGCCACCCCTCTTATCTAAATATCAGTATTGGCCAGTGAAAACAGTATATTGGTCACTAATTATTACTAGCTCTAAGAAATATCTGCTTCAGTGCATCCTGAAAAATACATTACTTTAAGTCTTTTCAACTGGCAGATGATAAAACAGCTGAAAAATCCATGAAATAAAAATGCTTAAGCAGGGACCTGTGCCTTATCTAGGCACACCTAGAATAAAACAAACACATAGCAACAAGAAACAACCACTTAAAACACCTTGGCAATGCTATACAGCTTCCAGTAACCCGGTACATGATGGTGGCGACATTTTCGTCAAATGACATTTAGTGCACTCTTGCTTTGTGCAATACGTCCTTTTTCTGTATATCAATTTATGTCCAAGAGTTTTTCAATCACCATGGGGTTACTTAAGACCGCATTTACACTATAAGGGCACAGGGATGCCAAGGAGGACGTGATTTTGACGTAATCTTTAATTCCCTTATGCAGTGTTGTAGCACAATGAAGATACAGTAGAACTATTAACTCCGGTTGGAGGAGAGTGTTAATGGATTGTTACGGAGTTATGTTCAGTATCCGCTCCACATCGATAAATCCATCAGGACATCTCGTCCCAGACAGTCCCACATCACTCAGATGTGATAAAAAGCCCCCTATCCAAGGACCCTGTGGGACGCCCATGCAATGCTCGACAGAATAGGTGCATCAGCGAGCTGCCACCTTCCCCAGGGACAGACAGTCTGTTCTATTATATTCATTTCTTTATGGCCTCTCACAGAAGAATGAGAGAGTAGAGGAAGAAAGAGAGAGAGTGAAAGATGAGAAAATGACAGAAAAAAAATCAAATAGATGGTAGGTGAGGATAGAATAAAAATGAGTGGGGGTGGGGTGGTAATGAATAGAGATGGAGAAAGAAAACAAGAGATCAGAGTGAAGGAGCGTCTGGAGAGGTTCAGGGTTGTGGCTTTAGATTTCAGACTTGAGTCGAGTGGACTTTTGTGGATGTGCTGAGTGACATTTCATCAACCTTTTAACTTTCCTACTGCAGAGGGAAAATACACCAGGGGCACGTGAACGCTCATATTCACACTGCATAATGCATCATTTCCAACATAAAATACACTGAAAGATCTAGGTAACTTATTTCTTAGAAGCAATTTTTCTAGATCTAAAAGACAGTTAATTAATTCTAGGAAGAACTGTTCTCAAATTTACAGTTTGGCAATATTTGCCACCTTTTAATTTATTCATTTATTGTTTTAATTTATTGTTTGTGTATGGGCATGGATATGTATTGTGATAAAAATATCTTATTTGACACTAGTACATTTTATACATATTAAATGATAAAATAATTAGAATAAATTATAATATGTAATAAATTGTATTCGATATCATAAATGTAATATAAATAGAAATCTATCAGGGTTTCCGCGGGTCCTTAAAAAGTCTTAAATTTAGTTATATCAAATTTAAGGCCATAAAAAGTCTTAAATGGTACAAGAAACGACTTAATTATGATTTCAAGAGGTCTTAAATTTGGGGGCGGAAAGACAATAATTGTAAAATGGCTGAATGTGACAATTAAACTTCAAAAGGGTATGATTTTCATATGATATTCATTCATGTGGAGTGTCTGCTGAGATGTTTTTATTGTATTTCTCCTTAGTTCAGAGTACCCTGAAAGGCAAATTATTTCCATAAATCAGTGGAATTTATCTTAGCAAAATGTTTATGAAAACCTTGACATTTTTCAGGAGATCTCTTGCAAGTGGAGACCCTTTTTATAGGGCAACTCCCTTCCTCTGGTCAATACAAAGTTGTCGAAATCTGTAGATAAAAAAAACAGTCTCCATTCTTCAGTTAGATGTGGCTTAAATTTAAAACACCAGACTGGAATGAGAACCACGTCCTTTTCCTCTAAACATTTCTTCGAAGGGAGGGGAGCGGAGAAGCACATTATTCAGACAGAAGAGAAACAGAGAAGGGTTTGCGGTTTGTTTTGGCGGAGCTCGGATTCCTGGCAGGCTTTCTTGCGGTGGGTAGGTGTCCGGGGAGGAAGAGTGTGGATTGTGCAAAGCTAGCTGTTAGACGCAGGTCACTGGAAGCACAATTAGAAGATGATAGAGGGTTCAAGATGAAGCTTGATGGTTTTGTTCCCTTGAATAGGTTTTGGAAAGGCATTTTTCTAGGGTCAAATGCCTCCTGCTTTTTATTTACGTCCAAGTGTGTGTGCACAGACAACTAATTTGGAAATTATGATAACATGGTTTGTCCAACACACTGCATGCTTTTTAACACAGAGGGGTGTTTGCAACAAGTTTGACACAAAGACAAGTGTAGGCGGACACAACTGTGTATGTTTCTCATATTGTCATATTATTTAGCTGTTGGCATTATTAGCATATTGATCCACAACAACCTGGCAATACTCTAAACTCGGTTAAACTGCAGTGCAATAATGTTGGATATGCTGCTCGGAAATGCTGGAAGCAAAATATTCAACATACAAAGAGTTTCATGGTCATAATCATCATGACTCACTGCAGTTGAGTCAACTTCCACATATTCCTCAACCTTTTCCCTGTAAAGAATAGTTTTGAATCTTACATATGTAAAACTGGCAGTTGGCACAATGGAAAAAGTGTAATAGAAGCACATTTGCAGCTGTTTAATGATATTTTTGCCTTCAAATTCATCTGTTGTAATGAGAGTTTTTTCTTGGTAATGAGCAGCTCGAGTCTCCAGCTTTCTTTTTCTGACTGAAAACTTGTCAGGATGGCAACAGGTCTTTTATATTCCGCCACTCTAATTAGATGCAGCTCAGCACTGGTAATTAGTAGCAACTGTAATCCCACCAGAGAGCTTATGATTACTTCTCTAAAGTATCCTGAAGCTGCACGCAAACAGATGTGTCCATTCAAAATGGAAATCGCAAAGGTGATTAGAAGAAAACATACGTTAACAAACAAAGGTTTGGACGCAATGGACTGAATTTGTTTCTTATGATCTTAAAAACTTTGATCTGAAGGCTTAGTGCTTAAATGCTAGAAATTATGAAAAATTATTAAATGTTTTGGGTAAACTGCGTCTCTAATGTCAAATATATCTCTCTTGCGTCTTTGCAGGCCGTTCCTGGTGTTGCCTCCGCTGATGGAGTGGATCCGGGTGGCCGTGGCGCACACAGAACACCGCCGAAGCTTCTCTGTGGACAGCGACGATGTACGACAGGCAGCCCGACTGCTGTTACCTGGGGTGGACTGTGAGCCGCGGCAGCTAAAGTATGTTTGGGATGCAACGTCACTTCCATTCATGCACAAATACACAGTCGGCATGCACACTATGCATGTAGAATGCCTTAATGAACAATTAATCATTCACTGAAGGACAGTACAAACACACAACATGTACTCATACTGCATCCCTTATGAATTAAGTATCCTTAACTTCCTGTGTGGCTTTAGTTTCAAGTGACAGGCTCTGAAGTGCTATGTAAATGGCTTTTAACATGGTCATACAGTAGTTATTTTCAGGAGCACGCTATTAACTTCACAGATACAGGATATCTTGGCAAACAAACAACGTTTCATGTCAGGGTTTCTTTTTCCATGGCAACAATAAATTGAAGGGAAATCTAGCCATATTATTTATTTAGCTATTTATTTATTTATTTAGAGCCTGGTAGTAGTTTCCGTTAAAGAAATTATATTGTTTATGAATTAAATTAAAGATCAAAAATAATATATTATTATAATATATAAATCATTTTATAATATAAAATGTTATTTATTTATAATATTTTTATGTTTTTTATATATAAATAATATATATTGTATTTTTACTCTTTTATTATATATACAATATGTATTATATATTATATACAGTATTATATACAACAAAGATTTCAGGTAATTATTAATATACTTTTATAATACATGTATATGTTATTCACATGTAAGTTTATGTAATATAAACAATTTTCATATTTATATTTAATATTTATAAATACATGTAATATGTGTTATATATATTGTATACTGTTGTAAATGTTTATAATTAAATTAAATTAAATTAACAACAAATAAATCAATAAAAAAAAATGAAAACAAATGAAAGCCATAGTCACTGAGTAGTATTTCTTGTTTGGAGGTGTGTAACTGGGGTCTGGACTATCCTTTTATTGAACAGAGCAGACGACTGCTTCTCTGCCACACGGAAACTGGACGCTGCATCCACAGAAGCAAAATTCCTGCAGGACCTGGGGTTCCGGATGCTCAACTGCGGACGAACTGACCTGGTCAAGCAAGCAGTCAACATGCTCGGGCCAGATGGCATTAACAGTATGAGTGAACAGGTGGGCACTGATATATTTACACACACATATAATCCCACATTTGTGTGAAATTCAGGCCTGACTTTACTAGATTATAGATTTTTCTCTTTTTTATCTCTGATTGCTAAAAATTTGCTGTTCTTCAAACTGGCAGTTTGATAAAAGATCCTACAGTTTCTTTTCAATTCTGTTGGCACAGCACCTTTTGTTCATACAGTAACACTTGATGATATGGTGGCCATGTTAATCATTTTAAATTGAATAGAATTAATTACAACACCAACAACCTAATAACAGAGTGTGATTATGAGCAGCTCCACAAAATATTTGTCATGAAATAATCACACATCCATTAGTATTAGTCAGCACTTGCACTGTAATTACTCCCTGATGTAAATACCAATGTAAACTGTGACTTTTCTCACATCTGCCTTCCATTGTTTCCTTCTTCGTCAGACTCAAACCATTAAATATTTGAGCATCAATGACATTTCTGCAGCATGTCATTGTAGAAGAAAAATGCCCTAGTAGGTTTCTTATTATATATGTGCAAAAAGATGACCCACATAGTCATTTAGATGCTAAGAAAATAAATAAGTTGCATGACCTTTAAATAAGGAAAAATGTTGCTGATCTGTGTAGGAAGCATCAATTGTGATAGCAGTCATGACACTCAGTATTATGAATCAAATGTCATCTGTATCCAGCGCTGGGTTTATGTTACTGTCACAGTCTGTCTTGAACACAGCAGCCAGTTTATGCAAAGAATGACGGCGACATGCCGATGCTGACAAAATGGATTAAACTAACATGAAAAATTGAAGCGTCACAGAGGCAAAACTAGACAAATGCGGGGAATGTGATGACAAAGATAATTGTTGGAGTCCAGCTGGGAATCATTGAGAGTAACTCCATCTTACTCTGGAAGAGTTGCTCCAAAATCACGCTGGCAAATATGGTACTCGTTATTTCAAGAAGAGCCTTGAGGGAAAATACGTCTCAACTGACAAATGAATCTCCTTCTTCATTGCATGCTCTTGAGTTAGTAATACAATTAAGTGTTTATAGTGAGTTTTTAGGCACAGCATGAAGCAGGGTGAGTAAACCCCTTTCGTTGTGGTAAAGTCACTGTAACGTAGAGGATCAAGAGACTTGTTACTTTATTAAACAGTATATAAATATCATTTATTAACACAACATGACTCTGAAAAGGTATTAATGGTTTATGTTGTCCAAAGACTTTAAATGCTCAAAGACTGTGTTTAAAAACATAGCTAATTGCTGACTTTGTGCCTTCATGCACTGATGCTTATGTTTGTGTTTCACTAAAGCAGCTGTAGATTTGATGGTCTATAGAATGCATTGTTTTCTGTTTAAAGTGTATTAATTGAGGATCATCCATAAAGATTAGTGTTCCGCTCAGTTCATTTAAATGGGCATTTTAGGGTCTCATGAAAAGGTTATTTTCAGACTTTGCTTAACTAGTGCCGCAGTAGCTTGTGCTGTAGGCTCTACCGCAATGGGCTCATGCTATGACACGTGTACTGTAGGTGTTCAGCGTTTTTTGTTTGTTGTTTAGGGTATGACCCCTCTTATGTACGCGTGCGTCCGTGGGGACGAGGCCATGGTGCAAATGCTGCTGGACGCTGGAGCAGATATCAACAGTGAGGTCAGTATTTATTGGTGGACAATTCTAAAGTGTCTTGTAGCGTGTTTTTGCTCTCTATTAAGCGAACCTGTCTCTATAAAAATAACAAACTAAACTCTCTGTCCTCTTCCCGATGCTGTTTGCATGAGCTTGTGAATTAAAAAGTGGTTGTATGTGCATGTAGATGTCTACTTAGGCTCTCATGGATCTCATGAATATTTAATGAGATTACAAGCAAATGAGATGTGCTGTTTTTGTCCTATTTTTAATGCTATTTATATAAAAAGGTGGGAAAATGCAATGATTGCCTAAAGTAGATACACTGATTGTGAAGCACTGAGGTTGAAAGCATGAAACATGAAAATAAAATTGGATTCAATTGGCTACCTTGCATAAAACAACAGTTACTCAGTCATGCTAATATAAAAGTCCTTCATTTATTTTAAAGCAACATGTTTCATGTATTTGCCTTAGGGATGAATCTCCTGAAACCGATCAAGAATGTGTCCAGGTCTTATTTCGCCATACAGAGTTATATGTTGCATAAAGAAAATGAAGCCTGTTTTTGTATCATTACATTTTCTGCATTGTGACATTATTTTCATGGCAATTAAACGTGTTTTCTTATTATTACCATAATATGGATGAGAATTCTCAGTATTCTCAATGTTGATTGTAATTACTGTAAATTAGTTTATTCTTAACTGTATTACAGTAATTGTTCTTAAAAAAAAATATTAAAATCAGCGTTTGTTAAAGGCACTGTAACAAATACTACCACAATGAATACTTTAAATTGATTATTTCCTGGTTTTAAAATAGCCTTCATTCTACTTATGCAAAATGTAATAAATTTGGGGGATTCTTGACTTTCTTGACCGTTTTTCATGAAATTCACTTTTTTGTATATGTTATGATGTGATCTTGTGCTCTGTTACCTTTTGTCGTCTTTTTCATTTGACCCTTAGAAGACAAATCGCTGACTTGAGCACAAAGCACCAAATGCATACACAGTGATATGCATTTGTAAAGAATTTGCATTTGTACATTTGTAGAGAAGGTAATACATTACCTTCTTTTACAAATTGCATTAAGCTCAAGAAGAGTATCAGCAAGTGGGCAGATGTGCTGTTATTTGCATAAAGTTTCCTTGTGCAAACAATTGTTTGACTTTAACCCCATCTGAACAATTGGTTCCAAGAGGTCATGTTTGCCTAGATATGAACAGATGCCTGCATAATTTATCCCCTGATTACAGGAGAGCTCAGTTTTGCATGCAGTACAGCTGTAAGCGTTAATGCCAGACAAGCCTTCTTTTTGGTGCTTTGTACACGAGTCACTTCTCACTTACACCTCTAGCGTTTGAACTCGCTGCCAGTTATTCTTCCTGCAGTCTTTGCATTATCGCTATGAAAACCATGAACTAGATCCTAAACCGTGGTCAGGATTTTAAGTAAAGCGAGGAGGGCGTGTAGGAGTTGTCCAAAGGAGAGGTAACGCAAGTAAACTCCAGATTAATGTGGGCTGGATGGAAAGAAGGGGTTTGGAGAACAAAACGAGCACTAGCTCTTTCTTCTTCTCTTTGCTTGAATTAACAAAACAATCAGACGGCGGAAGAACTTTCCAACTTTCCGCTCACTCATTCACTCATTCCTTCCCCCTTTTCTCGCACTCCTGCAATTCCGCAATTGGAGCTCAGTGTGCTGGTATATAATGGCTGAATTTTTGTCTCCCTGAACTTCACCTATATGATTCCCAGGTGCCCAGCTCACTACACAAGCACCCCTCAATTTATCCTGACACCAGGCAGGGGACTCCACTCACATTCGCCGTGTTACACGGACACGTCCCTGTCGTGCAGGTAGTGGCGCAGTCAATGCCTTCCACCTTTGCACTTTCCTCAGTTATTATTATGATGCCACCATCATAATAATAATGGCACAAAGAAACAGTTTGATGTTAGATGTGGGCTGGATGGTGCTGCCCTGGTTCAGAGGAACTTGAATGGGCGTAGATTGGTATCATGAATAGGAAGAATGAGGAATGCTTTGAAGATAGAGGCCAGTTTATTGACTGTGCACTCTATTTTTTACCCCAAAAGTGGAATAAAGTCTTAGACAATAAATACTAGAAGTGTTGAATCTGATGACCTACTAAGGCCCACTTATTTAGCTCTTCCAGGAAAATGGAAAGGCAAGGTGATATTTCTTGGGATGCTTAATCTCCCACAAGCACACATCCACCACAGTTGGAGATATTATCAAAATCCTTCTCTTTGTTGCTTTCTGTAGGAATAATCCCATTTTCCTTTTTAAACCAGACAAACAGACCAAAATCGTCCACTTAAAGCATCAAGAGTGAAAGAAATTATGACCAGATTACCATAAAGATGTTTGCTAGTTGGAGGTGGCCTAGGTGATGAAAAGAGCAGGCTAATTTAATGCAATTACAGCATTTATATTTACAGATGTCTTGGTGATATTAAAGTTAAATCCTCTGAAATGTGTTTAATAATGATTGTACTTCTCAATTTATTGAGCAGCTTCTACTGGATGCCCAAACAAACGTGGAGGGAGCGATTCAAGATGGCACAGAGAACTACACAGAGACGCCTCTACAGTTGGCGTCTGCGGCAGGTACCACAAAACACATCATCAACACCGCTCAGTGACCCCAAAATGTATTTTGGACACTGAGGCCACAGAAATGTATGAATTTGATTGATTAAATAGCAAAATGTCAAACCTAGTGGCATCTGCAAACATGGAGCTAAAAAATAAGAAAATTTTTGAGTCAAGGTTATTTTATTGGATGTACTGTATAAAGTTAGTTCCCCTCAAGTTCACACAGTCCAAATACTTTATCTTAATTTTTGACAATATGTCTTGTTTTATCTTTTAAAAACTGTTTTTTAACATTGCTAAGTTTGCTGTTAAAATAAATGCCAGTTGGTTTTTGCTATTTAAGTTTGATATCAAATGCAGTGTTTTTTTGGTTTACATTTTTTCACACTTCATTAATTGTATTCAATTTTATATATATATTACATTTTTATTGATTTATTGACATGAGTATGATTTGCTAAAATAACAGAAACTTTCACGCATTTTTTTTTTACATACATTACACTACAAAATTTACTAAAATAATATTTTTCACGTTATTTATTTATTTTTGACATGACTATGATTTGCTAAAGTAACAGATTTTTATGACACTTTCAGTGCAGTGACGGTACCTTTAGCTGGTACATCTTTGTACCTTATTCACCCCTAAAGGGTGCATAAGTACCTTAAATAGCAAATACAGCTATTTTAGTCCATACAGTGAAAGTCAATGGGGTCCAAAACAATGTTAGACCAAACTCAAAAAACTCAAAAACATTGAGACGTACTTCAAGGTCGAAATTTGTACTGTTTAGGGGTAGATAAGGCACTTTTGAGAGAACAGCCCTAGTGACATATTTACATTATGGAGATTCCATGTGAGTGAAATCTTTGATGACGAAGAGTGAACAAGCTTTTTGTGCATTAGATGAATCTGCATTAGATGGTGTTGTATGATACATCCAGGACCCATTTTTAAATGGTTACATTCTGTTACTTTTGTGCCTCTAATTTTGGCAAAATGGTCCTTGCAGACTGTGAGCTGACAAACGGAAGACATTATACTTTTGAGCCCCAGTCTGGTTCCAGAAATGTAATAGTATTATTCAAAGACTGATGGGGCTACATCGCTCTCAAGAGCCCTTTGCAAACTTGCTAATGAGCCTTAGCGGCAGCTTCTTCTTCTTTTTTTTTTTTTACATCCACAGTGTAAATGTGACAAGTCCACATGGTGGAATGATGTATGGAGGCCAGTGCCAAATGAGATTTCATAATCACGGCTGTGGCAGTCCTATGAATATGAATTGACCTGAGTGATATTCATTTACATTTGCAGAGTGTTTTCCAGCATAATGCTGAAAATTACCTGTCTGCCCCACTTAGTGTACAAACTCTTGAAGACTTGGGTAATGCAGGTTTCAGTCAGCTGGTAATGGACACATTCTTGGTGATAAAAACAGATGGGGTGCACAAAAATTGTATCATCTCCTGCAGCGGAGGAGAATGAAGGAGCACAAGCCAAACCGATTGAGCTGAAATGTCTAGAAACAGGTTTAACCGTATGCCTGTGTTCCCCTGTGACCCAACAGAAATGGCTGTGGATGGGATTGTTTGAGCCTCATTGGATCCAAAACTCATCAGACCTCATTGATTATGCCCCATTTGCTGTATGCTGGCTCAATTACCTCCACTGTTAGCATTCAGGATTTCCTTCTAATGTAGAAACACTTTCCCCTCATTACTCTATGTGGATGTGCAAAGGACAGCCTGCTAATATACATTAGCAAATCAATCTGGGGACGGGTTGCTAGGCGGTCTTACTGATAATGACTTTTTCCTGTAGCTCAACTGGTAAAACACGAACTCGCAACATCAACATCATGGGTTTGACTCTCTGGATTCACATGCTAGTAAAATGTGTACATTCATTTTTATGACCCATTTTAGGTCAAACCATGACAGAAAAGAAATAAAGGACTTTTGCTTTGAAATTTATGCTGTATCTGATTTTGATTGAGGGAATTGTAGCTTAAGGAGCCAATCAGGCTAAAACAACAAACAAAATCCACATTTCAATCCCCTTAATAAACTAAACAAACAAAAAAAAGAAATAAATTATAAAAATCTTTTCAAGCCCTATGTGTTGTAAACCTGGAAAAAAAGGGGTTACATGACTGACTAAAATACAGTAACTGAGAATTTTTCACACTTTCACAATTTATTTAATTATTTGTTATTTTATGGTTATGTTTGACTATAACAATTTTTCTCACTTTTTATCACAATTATTTTTATTAATTTCTTGACATGATTATGATAGACTATAATAACAGATTTTTCACACCTAATTTATTTAGTTATTCTTATTAATTTTGTTTTATTAATTTTTGATTGATTGACATGACTGGTTTGCTAAAATAAGTTGTTGTTTTTGTTGTTTTCTTTTTACAATTTTTACACTATCAACACATAATTTACTAAAATAACAGAATTTATTTATTTATTTATTTTTATTAATTTTGTTTTGTTTATTTTTGATTTATTGACAGGAGATTGTCACACTTTTTAAAAAATGTTCACTATAAACACAGGATTGACAAATAAATATGTTCACACTTTTTATTAAATATTAAATCATTTAATTGTATTAAATCATTTAATTTGATTTATTTTTGATTTATTGACATGATTTGCTAATATAGCACTTTTTTCCACACTTTTTATTAATTTATTACATTTATTACACTATCAAAACTTAATTTCTGATAATTCTTTCCCACTTCACTTATTTATTGACATGATTATGATTGACTAACACATTTTTTCACAATTATTTTTTTTTACACTTTATCAACATATGATTGACTAAAATAACTGACTTTTTATAACTTTTTTACATATGCCACTATGGTAGTAGGCGTCTAATTATTGCAATTGCTTTGAATAAAACCATAAACCAAATAAATTTCATATAAATTGTCTTGCATTTTAACAGGTAACTTTGAGCTGGTAAGTCTGCTTTTGGAAAGAGGAGCAGACCCTTTGATTGGCACCACTTACCGTAATGGCATTTCCTCCGGTCCGCTGGGTGAAATGAACTCATACAGCCTGGCAGCATCACATGGACACAGGTAACGCACACCCAATGACTCAACAGCATATGAAACGTATAAAGTAACAACACGTTCTTCACCAGCACAACAGGGAACCAAACTTTCATTAGTTCATTGACACATTTGTCACCACATATCATTATTACTGTCCTTATACATCATTCTGACTGCAGAAACTCAATCTATCAGATCTGAACCCATGATGTGTTGTTATTGGCACGCATAAAAACTGAGCTGGTGTATTTGGCTGCAAAATCGTGTGTATACTACCATTATACTACCATAATTCCAGCCCCATCACTCTCCATCACTGGTGAACGTATGGATGACTGCGTGCTCATTCATTTACTCTCACCTATGGCCAGCGCTGCATAATGGAAGCTCATTGAAATTCACACTGCAAACATCTGAATGAGAATCCAGTGTGTTCGACGGCCAACTCACTCACCTCTGCAGTATTAAGGCAATCTGTTATAAAGGGCGTCAGAGAGGGACGCGTAGCGAGGTCTGAGCCAGAACTGGATGTCTTTGGCCTAGAGATGTTTGTAGTGGTGCATGCCGCAGTGATTGGTCATTTATGCATATTAGATCAGTTGCAGAGCGCTGGTACTTTTATGAAGGTATATGAGTTTACAGAGACATACAATTCTGAGAAAATGCAGCAAAGCAGAGAAGAAAAACACATTGGAATGCATTGATAAACGGAAGTCATAAACGAAGAAGCGCTCAAGGCATTTCATAGATGTTTCATAGAACTCTTTGTTCTCATCAATCCGCTGATTATAAAAATGATGCAATTAAGTAATTCTCGTGGCTAATAGCTTTGTTTGAAACAGTCCGATTATGAAAGTGTTTTTGCCTTCTAAAAACAATAACCGTCAGAGTCAAACTCTTCTTAAAGAGGTAATTCACACAAAAATGTAAATTGTTATTTACTCATATTATTCTGAATCTCATCCTATTACTACCGTTCAAAAGTTTGGGGTTGGTAAAAAAAAAATTCAAAGTCTCTTATGGTCACCAAGGCTGCATTTATTTAGTCAAACAACAGTAATACTGTGAAATAATATTACAATTTAAAATAACAGTTTTATATTTATTAGATTTTAAAAATGTAATTTATTCCAAAGCTGAATTTTTATTCAAAATTGCACATGATCCTTCAGAAATCATGGTAATAAGCTAATAATTTGGTGATCAAGAAACATTTGTTTTTATTATCAATGGATCAAGAAACATGTGTTATTATTATTAATGCATAAAAAAAGTTGTAATATTATTTTTAATATTAAAAATATTAATATGCGTAATATTTTTCAGGATTTATTTGATGAATAGTAATCATAAACGTCATCTGATGTCATGCAATAGCCAGTGTAAAAAAAATAAAAATAAATCTTAAAAAGTTTCATTTTGTGTTTCATGGAAAAAGTAACAGCAGGTTTGTAAACAACATTAAAAAAATTTGTGAGTGAACTATTCCTTTAATGAGTATAAATACTTGCTCCTGCAGAAATGTGTTCCGGAAGCTTCTGTCCCAGGTGGAAAAGGACAAGGGGGATGTGCTGTCTCTGGAGGAGATCCTAGCCGAGGGCTCTGAGACCGTAGAGAGGAGAGCGCCACAGAACGAAGCCACCCTCCGGACAGGCAAGGCCAAACTAAGGGCCCTCCGCGAGGCCATGTACCACAGTGCCGAGCACGGCCATGTGGACATTACCATAGACATCCGCAGCCTGGGTTAGTAAAAACACTGCACGATTACCACAGACATCAACCGACTGGCTCACTTCTGTCATGCAGCGATTAGTCTCAGCCTCAGACAGCATCTATTGCACATAAAAATGACAAGCACTAGTTGACCAATCTTACCGGCTTATGCAACTTACTGCATAAGTGCACAAATCCCTTTCTTTATCAGTCCATTGTGATTAATATATGACAAATTTTTGAGGCTGAACTAATCACTTGCCAAAGTTTACCAGGTTAGTGCATCAAATCTTTGAAAGACACTCTTTGAAAGATGTTTGAGGCCCTTAATAGTTAGTTAACAAGAAAAGAGTATCTATTGTTTATTTTGCTTTGTTTTCTGTCATGAAATCATTATGCATCATATTTATCTACTAACACTATTTACACTGCCATTCAAAAATTGTGGGTCCAACATTTCAAATTTTGGTTCAAGTTTTTCAACTAATATTTTTATTTTATTTTATTATTTTATTTTATTTCAGCTTTATTCCAAATAACGAAAACTATTTTTAATAGTTTTGTCTACCATTGGTTGAATAAAACAGGTAGTCCCGCACAAACATGTTTGATAGTGGCACAGTATTAAACTTTTTGGCAAAATGTAGTTTGGCAAAATTATATGTGTGTATAATTTACATTAAGCAAATTTTGAAATATTTTCTTCTATCCCAGCTAATGTTTTCAAATATTATTAAAATATTAGCTTGGATAGAAGAAAGTAAATTATACACAAATGTAATTTAATAGATTTAATTTGTACCTTATTTACTGATTGAGGCTTTAGTCTTAGCAATGTGTGCTTCTGTCTCTCTGATGTTACAGCATAGTTTCATAGTCATATTACCATTTCAGTTATTTTGCAGCACTTCAGAATTGAATGTCCCTCGTAAGTCTCTGCATTATTGTTATCACTGCGTGTCAGTCCCTGACTCCAAGCAAACAGGCAATCAATGTCAGTAACACCAGTTCCAGCTTTCTCTGTACTTAACATCATAAATCCTCTAATTACAGAGCTCATCATAAGTGCCGTGTTAGGATTACCATTGGCTTGGATGTGTTTTACTTTTAGATAACAGAATTCAAGGTCTAACTACAGTGAATGTGTTTGTGTGCTCTACAGAACGAAGTGATCAGCCAGCAGCTGTCAGTCATCTTTACCCAATGCTACGGGCCTTTCCCAATCCCCAAACTCACAGAGATCAAAAAGAAGCAAACGTCTCGTTTGGGTGAGTATGTCAGTTGCAGCTCCTTGTTCAGTTCATCTTCAAAAGCGACTCCAGCTCTGCCCTGCCTCTACTAACAATATCAATAATTGAATAATATCAAACAAGCAAGAATGCTTTGCCTGTGCCGCAATTCAGTACATCAGCAAAACTGCTTGTGCACGACAGTTTTATAAACAATAAGTTAAATAGCATAACTTACGTTTTAGACACAACATGGCCAGTAATTTTGTTTATTCTTGCTTTGCTAATGAAAAATAGAGATGACTGGAACTATCTGTTCAATTTAGAGCAATAAAAAAGGCCAACTCAGCTTGTGCTGCACAAGGATTCACATTTATCTGAATTAATTGGTGAAGTGTGCTTGTTAAATCCATGCAAACTACAGTTCTAGGGCACACAAGGACACTTTTTCTCTCAGGAGACACAAAAATACAATTAAAGAATATTCAATTTAATTAGACTCTTAAAGTTTTGGAGGAACACTAGTGCCATCTAAGCTTTGGTTAAGCTACTGCAATTATAAAACAGACATATTTCATGCTTTTTCTTGTAATGTATTGATGACAGCCTGTCAAACACAACACATGGCAGTACTGAATAATGAAGAACCTTGTGTAATCACTGTTGTGTAATATTGCATCTCCGATGTGGGGACTTCAACATTTGATTTGTTGCTTCCTACAGATCCACACTTTCTCAATAATAAAGAGATGTCTGACGTGACGTTTCTGGTGGAAGGAAAGCCCTTTTATGCCCATAAAGTGCTGCTCTTCACTGCCTCCCCAAGGTATGTCTTCATATTGTGGAATTTATTACATAGCAGGGGCACCAGAACTTGGGACTTTGGTTCTTCACTTTTAGCACACACACTAAATTAGTTGGCTCACATTAAAAACACTTTTTTAAATTTACTAACGAATACAAATCACTGTAGTTTCAGCTCCTTATGTTATTTCAAACAACATCATATGTGCTCATGAACTGAGCAAAAATAATAAATTTCTCACAAATCAAAGGGAATTCAACAGAATATATATATATAAAGGCAGCTTTTCTACGCTTTTTTTTTAAACAAATACTTATTTATATTATTTGAGCTTTGTTTTAATTAACAAAAACTATTTTAAATAGTTTGGTGAAAAAAAAAAAAGATAAAAGGTAGTCCTGCCCAAAAAGTTTGATAGTGCCGCAGTATTAAACGTTTTGGCAAAATCTAAAAATATATATATATATATGTTTAAATACTCCCTTCTAAAAAAAAAAAAGAAAAAAGAAAAACCTAAATTTTTTTATTATTTAATTTTTTATATTGTGCATATGAACTCACAAACATATTTCTCACAAATCACAAGGAATTCAGAAGAGCGAAGATAAAATGTATGTAAAGAAATAGGCATATATATTAAACTGAAATGTAAACAATTTAATATAATAATATAATTTAATATAATAATATACATTTTGCTATTTTGTATATGATTTACTCCATCTCAAGATAACATTTTGATAATAAAAGCTAATGTAGATATATCTGAGCAGACATAAGACTTTTTCAAATCTGCAATGTCTACAAGAATAATAATTCGCGCAGGGACTGGATGGTCTAGGAGGGTAATGTCAGAATGAACTCATTCATATTCATGAGTTCATTATCATTCAGTGACATCACAGCCTGCTCATCTACCGCACACCCGTCCCACTCTAGAACTCATTCCTGCACCACTGCATGGTTTTCAGAATAACTACATATCTTACATCTTATATCTTTACTGAACTCTCTATAAATACTTGATTTAGTAATAATACAGCTTTTAAAGGATGTTCATGTTTCTCTTTCCAGGTTTAAGTCTCTGCTCTCTAACAGACCAGCAGCTGAAAACACGTGCATCGAGATCAGTCATGTCAAGTACAACATTTTTCAGGTTGGAATCTACTGACTCATAAATCCCACTCTATCTCATGTCGGTATTACAGTCAAACTATGCTAGTCTAATTCCTACCTCTGTCAGAACAATTCAGCTTAATGACAAAATGTGTCTGTATGTTTGTGACTGATGCTAAGCTCGTCTGCCTTAAAATGTTTCGTGGAAGTTTGAGAACATTTTGTTGTGTTTCAGCTGGTAATGCAGTATCTCTACTGTGGCGGCACTGAGTCACTGCACATCAGGAACACTGAAGTTATGGAGGTATTAAATATTCCCTTCTCTTTTCATCCTTTATGATCATAATTCCTCCTACCCTAAACCATTTTTACCACCCAGACACTAATGATGACTTAATGACTGATGACTTGAGAGGACGTTGAATGTGATGAATGAATGAGTTACGGTCTGATGATATGGGGAAGATTACTCATGGAAAACACTTTAAGAAACATATATAATGTATTATCTCTCATTTATCTCCATCGTTACCAGATGGAGGCTCTCTTGCACGTAGAACTGCAGCAGAAATTGTGATAAATTCTTATGTATTTTAAATTTAATTAAGTGATTGCTCTTGATTGTGATAAACCTGAAAGCCTGATGAGTTTGGCTCATTGTCGGTCCCTCTGCTTCAAAGCTCCTGTCTGCAGCCAAGTTCTTCCAACTTGAAGCTCTCCAAAGACACTGTGAAATCATCTGCTCCAAGAACATCACCACTGACACCTGCGTGGACATATACAAACATGCCAAGGTACTCTGAAACATTCATTTATGACTATGTCGTTCTATCAGAATTTTCACACTTACAAATTATTACTAAATTGTATTAAAATGAAATTTCCCCATTCAATCATTTATTTATTTTGTGCAGTATACTTTATTTCTTTCTTTAGTTATTTAATAGTAGTAATTTTATGAAATAATACAACCACAATTCCAGAAAAGTTGGGATGTTTTGTAAAATGGAATAAAATCAAGAATCTGTGGTTTGTTAACTGTCTTTCCTTTCATTTAATTGACACGGTACATAAGGTACAATTAAAAGATTTCCAATGTTTTCAATGACCAACTTAAATGTATTTTGTAAATATAAACCATTTTTAATTTTGATGGCTACAACACACTCCACAAAATTTGGGATAGAGTCATAATAAAAGTGAAAAGGTTATAGAATATCCAAGCGTTTTGAAACAGTCCACAGCAAGCAGATGAATTGGTAATAGGTCAAGGTATCATGATTGGGTTTATACAGAGCATCCTGTCTTTGCCAGCAAAGCTGGATCGTGGCTCACCCCTTTGTGCCAAATTTCATGAGAGAAGTGTAAAAAAAAATCACATTTCCCCAATGCAAAATTGCAAAGAATTTAGGTCTTTCACCAACTGCCATACATAATTTTGTGAAAAGATTCAGGGAATCCAGATAAATGTCAGTAGGCCACATGTAGGGCAAGGCAGGACACCTCAGTTGAATGTGTGTGACTTTTGAGCCCTCAGATGGCATTGCATAAGAAACTGTCAAGCTGCTGTGTGAAATATAGCCGCATGGGCTCATGAGTACTATGGAAAACTGTCGTCACTTAACACAGTCTGCAGCAGAATCAAGAAATGCAACTTGAATCTCTGTTACTCTAGGGGAAAGCTTTACATTAATTCTAGGTAGAGACGCCAGTGAGTTCTCTCTGCCAGAACTCATCTCAGATAGTCAAAAAGACTATGGGGAATAGAAATGTGTGCTGTGGTCAGATGAGTCCACATTTCAACTTTTTTCTGGGAAAAATGGACGTCGAGTTCTCAGTCCCAAAGACGAAAGGAACCATCCAGACTTCAATTACTGACAGATGCAAAAGCAAACATCTGTCATAGTATGGGGGTGCAGTAGAGCAAACGGAATGTGTGACTTGCATATGTGCGAAGGTACCATTGACATAGAGGCATATATTGGGATTGTACAGAGACACATACTGCCATCAAGATGACATCTTTCATGGGAAGTCCATGGTTATTAGATCAAGGCAAAGCTAGGTCTTATTCTGCATGTGCTACAACAGCGTTCTGTAAACACATGTTGATGTGACTGACTGGCCAGCAGATCTGTCTCCTGTTAAAAATGTATGGCCCATCCCTATGGACTGTTGAGCAGCTTGTATCTTGTATCAAGTCTTGTATCAAGCAAGACTGGGCAAAAATTTTGCTTGCAAAACTTTAAAAATTAGCGTCCTTAATTCCCAGATGATTAAAAGGTGTAATTAAAAGGAAAGGTTATTTGACACATGCCTCTGTCCCAACTTTTTTGGAGTGTGTTGTAGCCATCAAAATCAAAATTTGTTTATAATTAAAAAATAAAATCAAGTTGGCCAGTGAAAACCTTGGAATTTTTTTCTTTGTTCTTTAGTCAATTAAATAAAGGTTAAAGAGAATGAACAAATATTCTTGATTTTATGGCATTTCATAAAAAGTCCCAACTTGGGGTTGTACTAGTAAAATAATAAAAGGATAATAAATAAAAATAAATATTATTATTCTTATAAATATTTGTATTCATATTAATGTATCTATTAGATTATTCTTTTTAATAAAAGTAATAAAACCATAATAATAATTTCCAATAATAATAATAATACTTTCCTATAATATTACTAATCATATATTTATTTTGTGCAGTATACATTTATGTATTCTTCATTTTTTATGTCATAATATTATATAATTTGAATTGTATTAAATAAAATAATAAATATTAGTGTTATATATTTTATATGTACAATTTATTATGAATATTGTGATCATATAATAATGAATATGCATACATTTATTTATCGATTCATTTATTGTTTTTAATAAAAGCAATAAAACCTTGTATTTAATCCAGTATTATTATTATTATTATTTATTTTGTGCAGTACACACTTATTTATTTTTTCTTTTTTTATTAATAATAATGACATTTTAATTGTATTTAAAAAATAATACATATTATTATACACATATTTATATGTATAATGTATATACATAATGTATATAAAAAATATGAGCACAGGGAATAGGGAAAATTACTTCATTCATTTATTATTTTTGCAGTTTAGCCAATTGCCAAACATAATCCTAGGTTATCTTGCTCCATGTTTTGCCTTGTTTATACATTGCCCTTGATTAGTTATTTTATCTGTGTTGTCAGGTTTGAACATTGCACACTGCATATTTGTTAAACCGTGGATTAACATTCTTATTTGCATATTCATAAGGTTAATAACATTAATTAGACTAATACAGCATGCCAACAAGAATGCAACCTGCTTTAATAATTACTCATCCGTCTGTGTAAATGTCACCAGCTTAATTTGCTCTGCTTGTCTTGAGAAATATACTACAAAAAAGTGTGTGCGCCATCATTTTGAACCATTTCCCTACGTTTCTGTATGAGGTACATTGTTATAGTACTTCATGTTTTTTTATTGTGTACCTCTGGATACTGTATACCTTTGCAGGGCTTCATAATTCAGGATTAAATACAACTTAATTAAGAAAAAGAAATTCAATCCATTAACAAAGTAAGAATAGTGCTGAAATCTCTATTAGGAATGTTAAGTCTCACATTATGTTTCACACTTCCTCAGTTCCTGGGGGCTCTGGAGTTGGCAGCCTTCATCGAGGGCTACTTCCTGAAGAACATGGTGCTCCTGATCGAGCTGGAGAACTTTAAGCAACTACTGTATGAGGATCCTGCAGAGAGCCCCGGTCCAAGCCCGTCCTACGACGTCCTCCATGACCTCGAGAGAACCCTGGCCCTGCGGATCCGCTCCATCCATCTCTCCACTTCCAAGGGCTCCATCGTCTGACACTTTGGCCAAACTCACACCAACTGCTCCATACAGCACTTTCATCGAGAGCTCCATTAATTGTGTGCCAACCGGTTGGAGACATTTCAAACATCACCGCCATCATGAACCAGCACTGCCCCGATGGAATATATTGTAGGGAAGACCGAGAGATTGAGTGTCACTGCACAGGCTCACACCTCCACAACGTTGCAGAAACGTCAGCCTGCTGAACTCATACCATTCCAAGGGCTACGTTTATGTTGTGGAAACATTCTAACAATGTTATGACAGCATTATGACGCCCGACCAACGTAAGTGCCCAGGGAAACCATGGCTCCTGATGTCATTACTGCCTCAGCAATGCATGCAAATGGATGGGGTTCATTTTTAGGTGGAACTGTCTTGGAGAACGATTGTTATGCTACCTGCCGAGGACAGTTTTACATTACTCTCCAATTGACGTTATATTGTTAGCCTGCCTTCTGAACCTTAAATTTGTGTAACATTCCCTCCAAGTAACACTAAACGCTAAACAAACGATGCATGTTAAGTTAGGTGATGCTGCCATCAAGTTCCCCTAAGCCATTTGTGTTCAAGTTGGACAATAACATCCACTAGGTGTAGAGTTTTACAAAGGAGGTGTTTTGTATACTTAATACTCACATCCAACTACGACTTTTGGTATTTGTGTCACTGAACAATAAGAATGCCAGCTGTTTAAATCCTAGCACTTGTGTTTAACGCTTTGCGGTTCTAAGGAATACCTTCAGCCATTTGTAGACTGATCCAACACAAATTATCCAACCAATGTTAGACTAAACTTGTTGCTTTTAGTTTATACGTCTCACCGAAAGTTCGTGTTCACCAGCGCATTAGGTCTGAGCTATTTGTTTCAACCCACACATTTCAAAGACCCTCTAATCTACCACGGTGCTTAGTACACTTAAAACTGAGCAGTTCATCCTTGCCTTGAGGTCACATAATAACCAACGATCTGTGTCAAATAATCTGCATGGATCCTCCGCAGCCTGTCTGGAGCTTCTGTAAAATACAAAAAAGCTAATTTTCCTTTTGGTGGATGCAGATTTACTAGCAACCCTTTGTGCGGGACTCTACTGTCTTCGAGTCTGTCGAAATCATGCGTTATGAAAGATGCCATTGCACTGGTCGCCATCTTCATGACCCAATGTACATATTCCCAGTCCTCACCTGCTACACTGCTTTTGTTCAATGTGAAAAATGTGAAGCCAACTCCAAACAAGCTGTTTTAAGTGAGCATGTTCTGGTTTTCCTGTGTTCGTCTGTAATCCTTCAGGATGTTGGCAAGTTCGAAACTGTACTGGATTTATGGTGTTACCAGCAGAAGATTTTGTTAGCCAGGCTGAACCCAAAGTAACAGATTTAGAAATATATAAAGCATTTCATCCAAAGATTATCCAGAAATGACATCAGAATTTCAACCAAATACTCCATATATCTCATGTGTGCCATTTATTGGCATACATGAGATATGAATATTGGATAATATACAATTATAAAGGTACACGTCTTACACATGCTGGTAGTGCAGTCCAAGAGTCCTGGTTTGTTTAGAGATGTTTTGTATGATTTATATTTCATGTACAGTAATGGAATAACTTGGTTATGAACATCCTCGTGTAACATGAAAAGTTGGATTATTGCTAAATTTGCCAATTAAAATACATATAGATTATTGATATGTAGCTGACTATGGAATAACAATGTCATGATGCAAATAATTTTAAACTGTGAAGATACATTTATTTTAAAGAAACTTAGCATAGTTACTTTATTTTCTTACGAAGTACATTTATTGTGAAATCCCTGTCTGCTATTTTGTGTAACACAGATAAGTCATAATGTAACTGTATCTATGTCCTTGCATTTGCAAAATGCCATTGCTTTGATAAACTAGCACAAAAACGGACACGGATAAATCATGTTTATGTAATTTTGAAGATCGGACCTGATAATTTGCAATGTCTTCATTAAACCCCACCATTTGTGTTCGCAAAACTGGATTTGTAAAAGCAATACTTGGCACAAATATGTCCATGCAAGGTTAGTTTTCTCATCTGACCTATTACTTGTGCTTAGCATGGATGCTTCTCCATGTAGCCAGATGTAAAGCAGAGGTCAATGTCATGAAGTGTTTGTAAAAGCTGTACACCTCACATAAAAAAGACTTGCTCTGTGTTTCTTGGCTTCAGCTTTTTTCTGCTTCAAGGCTGTTAAACATGCTTTAGCTCTCCACTAATGCACACCTTTTGACATGTTTATTAGACAAAAACCTGCATGCTTTGGCTGAATCAGAGTCGAACAGAATTTATTTGCTATTATCATTTCACTTGATTAAAACATTGTACATTGTACAAAAGATATATAAAGAAATATATATAGAACTTGGTGTAAATATAAGGGACGTAGTTTAACAATCGAAAAAACAAGAATGTTACACTTGTGCTGCAGTACAGTTGTTCAATGACATGCATTTTGTGTACAGTCAATAGAAATGACCATAATTGACCACTGTGTTGGGTCGTCATTAAATTTCTGTGACAAACTGTTGAGTATTGATTGATTAACTTAAGTGTGTTCAGTAGAGTTTTTGGATGAGTGTGGATGAAATTGTATGCCTTCCTCAACATGTAAAGAGGGTTGGTTAGATAGAGATCAAGTTGGTAAGTCGTTTTTGTAGGAGAAACTGGTGTCTCTTGAGTTTACAGGTTAAATGCCCAAATGGAAACAAATAGAAAATGTTCATGTTATTTAGTTCTGTCAGGACCACTATCGTCAAAGATGATTGACAATTAGCATACAGTTTGGATTGGCGGTATGGTTCTGTTCTGGGCAAGAACTCCCTGCGCATCCATGCAGCCTAGCATGGATGAGAGTAGGGAGAGCAGCAATAACCCCCCAGGGTAAACAGAACAGAACCAACATAAATGTATTGCAGACATTGTTAAAGTTCAATCATTTTATGTACACATTTTAGAATTAGTCTGATTCAAAGGAGAATCAGAAGGCTGAATCCTGACTGACAGAGGAGGAGCTGGGGATGGAGAAGGGTAATTAGCTATTGAGCAATGCGAAAACTGCTGATAATACTGAGGGACCTTATATATGAATGCCTAGATAGGTGTTGTATTCCTATAGGTAGATGGGGATCAGCTGAGAGTCAGTTGATGCGAGCTTGACTAACGTGACCTGCCAGAACTAACGCTACGCTTGATATTGTTTCCAGGAATAATTAAACTTGCTAAATGGCACCACCTACTGGAGAACTTGGTATACATCAATTTATTAACGCTAATGATAGCATTAATGTATTAATTAAACAAAGGAATTGCTGTATTCTAGTTCTATATTACACATTGTACATTATACATTCATTATTTACATGACAATGACTTATTCACATAGAAAAGTCTCATTTAAATATCACGGTGAATTTGGGGGGATCAGAAACATTTGGATTTAAACTAGGGCTGTCAATTCGATAAATCGCGATTAATCGCATCCAAAATAAATGTTTGTATATACATGTATATATAAATAGCCTACACATAGGCCTACATGCATGTATATATTTATGAAATGTTTACATGTATATATAATCATATTTATGTATGATTATAGGCCTATTATATATAAATAGAAATATATTAAATATATTTCTTAAATATACATGTGTGTGTATATATATATATATATATATATAAATACAGTACGCACACATAGGTTATATTATGTAAACATAAACCTTTATTTTGGTTGCGATTAATCGATTTGGCAGCCCTAGTTTAAACTACAGAATCCAGTCTCTAATTTTTTTTTGGAAGGTAGCAACAAGAATTAAATTAAGAGAGTTTAATCAAGCATACGTTTTATTTTGATCTGAGTAGTTTTAAAGACGAGAATAAACTTTGTAATCAATACAGCCTACACCTGATATTTGTTTTGGTTAGTTGCCCACTGTGTATTTAAGTGGTCCTGGACCCCCAGAAGCACTGATTCAGTGAGAGTTAGCCTACATCACATCACAACTGTTGAGAAATGTTTCGAAAGTTCAATGGTTCTTCTAAAGTTTTGTTTTAATACGGAGCCCCGCACATGACATGCAAGAGAAAAAAAAAAGAAAGAAAAAAATCGTGGGCACGATTTAATAATTAGTTACCTCGATTTACTAGATCGTTGTTTTACTATTTTCTTTGGGTTTATTTTTCTCCGGTATTATTTACAGTCAGTATTAGAACAACAAATAGCAAATAAAAATTTAAAATGTTCAAATAAAATTTATTGTTACCTTTGAGCGATGGTGCTTTTGAAATACTGCTTCATGAAGCTTCGAACCCTTTGCGAATCAATTGTTTCGAGCTAGTGATTCGTAGCGCCTATCACATTGCAAGAGTCATCGCCACATACAACTTGGGTTAGGTAATGATCTAGTTTGAATTTAAACCATTTTAAAAAGCAGTCTATTTATTTTTCTGGAGTAATATTTCATTAGGGTATCTTTATTTGTATACTTGTGGCCGTCTAGTGGTCAAAGAGATGAATAGCACCAACTATTTATGAACTATATAATTCATGCTTCTCATAATTTACCTTTGGCTGCATTATAATGATTTCTTTATTTGGAATATTATCAAGGATTATGTGGATATGTTCGTAGAATTTAATTTATTACTTAAACAGGCTATATTAAAAAGTAAGTACGTTCGTACATTTACTCAAGTGAAATTTAATCCTTTTCTGGAATAATATTTAGGTATACATCTCTGAAACTATACGTGTCTTTGCTGAAAGCTGTTCCTGCTGGTTTGTGTTATTCACCTGTGATACTACTTTTGACTACTACTACTCTTTTTTTAATATATATATATTAAATGTGAAATTAAAATGTCTACATTATTAAACTGATCTGAGATCAGGTGAAAACCAAAGGCACTGGTTCAAGCTGAGATCTCTGAGATATCTCGAATCATTGACATTTCAAAAGGTTTCGAACAGTTTTGACGCAACGAAGCCTTGTTTCCTGATGATTCAAATCAAACGATTCACAAAGGATTCGAATCTTTACGTAACGACGTCAACAGCACTTAGCCCCTCCCTCTCCAGGAAGTGACTTAACTTGGTAAAGTTATTCGTAGTTAGTCTGTAGTCTTCGTTGCTTGATAGTGTCTCAGTAAACACAACAGGAGAAAATGTCCTTCATCTTTAACGTGAGTATCTATATATTAAATAAGTGCTTGCAGAACGTCGTTTTTCCACGTATAGTTTTTTTTTGCAGCATGCAACTGTATATTGACAACATAGCATACTGTAATCTTATGTATACAGATGTTTCAAATGCTATTGAAAGGATGTTTACGGTTTGTTGACAGTCTTACACCCATCACCGTTTGTTTTTAGCCTTTGTGCAGCACACGAACCTGTTTGGTACATTACCGTTTTATTTTACTCTCCGTAGCTCATCTCTGGCAGCTTACAATTCGTGTTTGATCTGATCCGGAGGCTCTTTGGCATAAAAAGAAGACCTGCCATTACCCTTGAAGACCCTGATGTGAAGTATCCATTACGTCTTGTGGACAAAGAGGTGAGGATCATTTAAAATGTCATGGTTTAACTGTTAAATACATGTATTATAAATCGGTTTCATGCAGCTAATTTAATTCTAATTTCTAACTCTTTTAAGATTATTAGTCATGACACAAGAAAGTTTCGCTTTGCTTTAAAATCACCGGATCATGTTCTTGGACTTCCTATTGGTGAGTGCACTATATACTCTTATCACTGTGCATTTGACTGTTTGTGCGCTAACTTTAATGTTTATGCGTTGCATATGCAGGACAACACATTTACCTGTCTGCCAGAATTGATGGCAACCTTGTGGTGAGGCCTTACACCCCTGTGTCTAGTGATGATGACAAGGGCTTTGTTGATCTGGTTGTGAAGGTATAACATACAAGAAGTACAACTGCAAAACAAAACTTTTTACGTTTTTCATGTTTAAACACTTTGTTGTCTCATTTATTTCAGATATACTACAAAAATGTCCATCCTAAGTTTCCTGAGGGTGGGAAGATGTCCCAATACTTGGAGAGCCTTCGTATTGGTGACACAATTGATTTCAGAGGGCCAAGTGGACTGTTGGTTTACAAAGGCAGAGGTTTGTAATTTTGAAATCCACCGTGAGTCAGGGAGAAGCTATGAAACCACTGCTGCAAGGGAAAGGAAAAAATGATTGCACTGGAAGCATAAAAATATAATGCGACTGTCATGCACATTATAACATTAATTTCAAGATGATAGACACCTCGTGACTTACAGGATCACCTTTTCTACAGGATCATTTGCAATCAAGCCTGATAAGAAATCAGACCCTGTGATTAAAACTGCAAAACATGTTGGCATGATTGCTGGAGGAACAGGTAAGCACATGATTTTTTTATTTTTTTTTGTAAGGATTTTCTTGTGAGCTCATCTTTACTTTTTTTTAGGCATTACACCTATGCTCCAGATAATCCAAGCAATCATGAAAGATCCAAAGGATGAGACCGTGTGTTACTTACTTTTTGCAAACCAGGTTAGCAAAATACTAATTATGAACAAAAATATAATTTTATGATAAAAGTTCTATTACGCACAGAAATACCAATGTGTTTGTTGTTATAGAAAGTATTCAAAACTAATAATTATTCCCACTCACTACTCTTTTTGTCTTCTCCAACAGACAGAAAAAGACATTCTCCTATGTCCTGAGTTAGAAGAGATCATGGCCAATCACCCGACACGTTTTAAGCTGTGGTTCACTGTTGACAGGGCTCCAGATGGTAAGAATATCATGTTTTTACAGATGCTGTTTAGCCAAATCAACAACCTCAGATTAAGTGACTTAATCAAGATCAACCAGACATTAATAATCAGGCAGAAGCTGACAAGCTGAAATAATCAACTTCATGCGTTAGGTTGGAAGTACAGCCAAGGCTTCATCAATGAGGACATGGTGAAGAACCACCTTCCTCCACCCGCAGATGGCACACTCATCCTCATGTGCGGACCTCCTCCCATGATTCAGTTCGCCTGCAACCCCAGCCTGGACAAGGTGGGCCATTCCAATGACAGGCGCTTCACCTTCTAGAAGGACATCACCTGAAACCAAATAGTTAAAAAGTCAAAATTATAACCATGCTACCACCTGCCAGATGCAGATATATTACGCATGCACGCTAACTGAAAATAATCTATAATAATGCGTTTACCTTTCACTTTATATCAAAATGTACCAAACTCATTTTTCCTGAGAAACCTCTGCATGCAAGATGTACCTGCCAATCAAATCATTTGTTGGAAATCTTATGTTTTGTGTGTTCTATGCCTTAAATGCAAACAAAAAGCAGATGCCAGCTGAT